AAAAAGGAACTGCGTCATGTGGCGTGATTCAGGTATGATAAACAATGTAAAAAAATCTGAAAATTCAGTAGATGTTTTTCAGAATTGGCACTCGGAAATGATTTAGGTATGATGAAGCGTGATTCGGGTATATACCAACTAAATGCTTCGCAATGTTACGAACAATTTTCGCCCTTTGTATTCCAAAGAAATTGTTTGTGTTGCAAAGCGATTGTTTGTAAGCAGGCTAGACAAGTTCTCACGAATCGGTTTGCCTACGAACTATTTGTTCGTAAAACAACACTTCAAAATCCCTCGTAAGGTACGAAGGTTTTGGTTTGCATGTCGAACCTATTTTTCGCAAGCAATTTACAGTGCGCGCTGCCTCTTCTCAGTAACGTCTTATTTTGGAAAGTCACTACTTGGTGACACCAACCACCACGTCGTCCCAGAGAGAAAAGACTTGCTGTCGCAGCCGATGGGAAAACAACTGTTAGATCTTGTGTCCTACGCATTAGGGATCATCCAGAAAGTACATCCGCCAATATTACCGTTACGAAACTGTCAAATTCAGCCGATGCAAGCTCGCATAACGCCTGGTAGGTCGGCAACATCTTGTCTGCAGTGCATGCTTGTACTGCGGGGTGGCCTGTTGCGAGGCGGAGGGGCTCACAAGCGCAACCGATCGCAACCGCAACGGCTCGCAAGCGCAACGGCTCGCAAGCGCAACGGCTCGCAAGCGCAACGGGTCGCAAGCGCAACTGGGTCACAAGCGCAACCGCGGGGAGCCGCCTGTTAGACGGAATCGACTATAGACGAAGCTAGGACCGGGAGCGGAGCGCGCAGCAAGCCTCCGGATGAGAAATCAACCGAGCCTTTGGTCGCTGTCGCTGTGCACTTCTCGTGTAGAATGTGATACCTCTCAGACACTTTTAAACGTTTTGACATACGCACTGCGCCCGCGTTGGCGCGGCAGCGATTACTCTTGCGGTAAATAAATAATTATTAATGGTGTTGAAGTGAGCTGGAAGTCGGGAAACTTCGGTGTGAGTGTGAGTGGTATCCGGCGGCGGCGTTGCCCGCGGTGCACTCACCGTACATTTCGACAAGTGATTTGTACTCGCAGAAGTGTGTGTACTCCGCAGATTTTGTGCATTCGGTTACTTCAATTCGTCGCCGTTCTGTACCACTCTGGTTGCGTTTCTCCGAGAAAGGTTACGATCAGTGGCAACGTTGAAAGGAGCCGAGATTAACATTTCTCCTTGCTTTGATGTAAATGTGTGCGGCGCTGCGCCGAACGAGCTAACCCCAGCGAAGTAAGTGCTACTTTCGGGCACAATTCGCTGCTGTGTCATGTGTACCATCTACTTTGTTGTGATTTGTATCAGCTGGTGTGTGTATTCGTATTTCATCAGCCGTACATTCAAAACGTTATCCATTTCATGCCGTCAATACGCCGGCTCGCCGGCCTTCTGTACAACTCGTGTTGCCTTTCTCCAAAGGTGAGAAGACAAACCTAACCTCCGTGAGCTTGCAGTTTTGTTTGCTTGGCAACTCCGCTTGTCAGGTGGATGCTTATCTTTGCACTGTTTTTTTGGTCCGGGCGCAGTGCGTAGGTCAAAACGTTTGAAAGTGTCTGAGAGGTATCACATTCTACACGAGAAGTGCACAGCGACAGCGACCAAAGGCTCGGTTGATTTCTCATCCAGAGGCTCGCTGCGCGCTCCGCTCCAGCTCCTAGCTTCGTCTATAGTCGATGCCGTCTAACAGGCGGCTCCCCGCGGTTGCGCTTGTGGCCCGTTGCGCTTGCGACACGTTGCGCTTGCGACCCGTTGCGCTTGCGAGCCGTTGCGCTTGCGACCCGTTGCGGTTGCGATCGGTTGGGCTTGTGAGCTACGT